GGCGCCGCCATCTTTTTTTGATGAAAAAGTGCTTCCGGTGAGCTTTCTACCCGGAAAAGCTCACCGGAAGCACTTTTTTACCAAAAAAATATGGCAGCGCCTAGCAACCAGCGGCCCGGTAAGACTTGTTCCGCGGACCGGTACCGGTCCGTGGACTGGCGGTTGGGGACCCCTGCTCTAAATTGTTGAATACTCCTGAGGTAGATGAATCAATACTGGGATTAGTGTCCTCGTCTTCCATTCCCAGTAAAGTGCTGGAGGCGTTAAAGCCAGAGGAAAAGCGGGCTGAATTGGCTCTATGCAGGGCCCATCAGTTTGATGCATGGGCCATAAGAGCAGCCACGGCCACTTCCTTCTTTACTCGATCTTCTCTTAGATGACTCTGTCACCTAAGGGAGCACATTCCTAATTCCAACATTAGAGTGCATCAGGACATTGGTAAACTTATCACAGCCGCAGAATTCTCTGCTGATGCAACATTCCATGCAGTTAAGTTTTCATCTAGGGCCATTACTTCCCATGTTACAGCACGACACTTACTATGGTTAAAACATTGGCAAGCTGACATAAAGCATAAGTGTTTGGCTCTGCTCTTGATCCACTGCTAATTGAGACCAGAAGCAAAAAGAAGATACTCCCTTCTCTTTTTCAGAAGTCAGATTCTAAAAACACTCAGTCCTTTCAGAGGGGGTCCTTTCGTCCCTTCTATCAAGGACCATATTCAGCTAGATATCAGAGATCCCCGACATTCAGACCAGGGCAACAGTCAGAGAGGTCCGACTTCAGATTCAGAAACAGAAGGGGTGGCCAATCCAGGAGACCCTTTCGAGGGGCAGGAAACAGGTCATTCCAGCACCCAAAATAACTCTATTGACTCGGCTCCCATTGGCAGATGCCTTAAATTATTCACAGACCAACGGGACTCTTCAACATCTGATTCCTGGGTCAGAGAGACAATCAGATTTGGCCTAGATCTAGAGTTCCAATCCACACACACCCCAGACTTCTTCATGTTGTGCCCTCTTTCCAGAGATCCGGTTAAATGGAATCTTATGGAAACAGCTACCCAACATCTACTGGAAATATGAGCCATTCAACCAGTAGCTACAACCAACAAGGGTGAGGTTTCTACTCACATCTTTTTGTTGTTCCGAAGAGTTTTGGGGGGGGTGTGGAAAGCAATTTTAGACTTGAAACGGCTTAACCGTTTCTTGGTATATCGCAAGTTTAAAATGAACACCCTGCAATCTGTCTTACTCGGCATCAGAAAGGGTGATGTCCTTATGTCAATAGATTTGACGGAGGCGTATTTACATATTTCAATGTAAACAGTAAATTTTTGCGATTCTATTATAATAACCACCACTTTGAATATGTTGCCCTTCCCTTTGGACTAGCTTCTGCCCCCAGGACCTTTACAAAGGTCCTCGCAGCACTGGCTGCTCCCTCAGAGGTATCCCTGTACGACTCCAGTGTTACCTTGACGACATATTAATTTTGTCATCTTCCACTCATCAAGCAATTATAGATACTCAGACCACATTACAATCACTAGAACAACACGGGTTCTCAATTAATTGGACAAAGAGTCATTTAACACCATCAACTCGATTGATCCACCTGGGGGCAATCATAGATACAGTGGAAGGCAAAGTTTTCCTGTCGCCAGATAGACAAAACAACATACAATTGGTTAATGAGATCAGAACCCATAAGAGGGTGTCCTTAGCTGAGCTATCAAAATTGTTAGGCAAAATGATATCATGCATATCTATTATCCCCTGGGCCCATCTCCACACTAGATCCCTTCAGTGGTTCCTGCTTCCGTACTAGCAATCTGGATGAAGCAACTCCAAACACAAGGTCTCAGAACCATCAAAGGTCCTCATATCTCTCCACTGGTGGGCCAGACCAGTCATCAACAGAGGTTGCCTTTTCAAAGAGCCCCACAGACTTACCATCACAACAGATGCCAGCCTTTCTGGATGGGGAGCTCACTATCAGTCACTCACAGCCCAAGGCCGCTGGTCCTCCATAGAACAATCGTGCAGCATAAACTGGCTGGAGCTCAGGGAAGTACATCTGGCTCTTCACAGCTTCCTTCCACAGGCACGCAATCAACATATACTGATCTTGACCGACAACATAACAGCAAAAGGCCACATAAACAAGCAAGGGGGCATGCAGTGGAAACCACTCATGCGGGAAGCGGAATGACTGTGTCATTGGGTGAAGAACAACCTGCTCTCCATCAGAGCAGAACACATATCGGGTCTGTCAAATACCCAGGCAGACTGGTTAAGTAGGGCTACAATCAATCAGTCGGAGTGGCACCTGCACCCAACCCTGTTTCAAGAGACGGTCTGGAGATTCGGGCAGCCAGTGATAGATTTGTTCACTTCCCCTCTCAACTCTCAGCTCCCAAGATTCATTTCCAGGTACCCTTCACAAGGAGCGGAAAACATCAACGCATTCCACTGCCATTGGCCCCCAGCCTTTCTGTGCACATTCCCATCACTTCCAGTGATCATCAGGGTCATCCAGAAGCTGCTGGAAGAGAAGGTGGAGCTATTGCTAGTAGCACCGTACTGGCCCAGACGGCTGTGGTTCGCAGACCTTCGCAGTCTGTCTTCATCAGAACCATGGAGAATTCTGCCTGACAAGGTTTGGCTAACCCAGGGACCCCTTCAACATCCAGACCCTCAATGGTTGTACCTAGCCATCTGGAGGTTGAGCAGAGACATCTGAAGAGTGAGCAGTTATCTAACAAAGTCATAGCCACCATCCAAGCTGCCAGGCGCCCCTCAACAACTCGCATTTACAATGCCATGTAGTCCAGTTTCTGCAAATGGTGTGCTAAGTCTCACATTGATCCCACCTCTCCATCAGTGGCTCAAATCCTAGAGTTTTTACAAGAAAGGCTTGACAAGGGTCTATCACCAAATATGTTGAAAAGACAGGTGGTGGCTTTGGCGTCGGTTGTCACTTGTGAAGGTCTACCATCTCTTTCTCATCACCCACGCATACAGAGTTTTCTTCAAGGAGCCACAAATTTACATCCACCAGTGGTTCATTGTTATCCAACTTAACAAGGTCCTCGTTGCACTCACGAAGTGTCCCTTCAAACCCTTGAAATCTTCGAGTCTCCAGTTTCTGACATACAAGGTAGTTTTTCTAGTAGCGATAACTTCTGCTCGTCATATTTCAGAACTGGCAGCTTTGTCAATCAGGTATGATATTTGTGTCTTCCATTCAGACAGGGTGATCCTTCATCCAGATCCTATACCCAAAATCAATTTGGCTTTTCACAGGGCACAAGAACTGATACTCCCCAATTTTTGTCCCAGACTAAATCAAGTGTTGGAACTACAATGGCACCGGCTTGATGTGAGGCAGGCATTGCGAATACATATTCACCGCACAGCACCTTTCAGAAAAACTGAAGCATTATTTGTGTCATTTCAGCTAAACACTCAAGGCTCATCTTCCACAATAGTCCGCTGGCTATGGGCTGCGATTGCGAAAACGTATCAGACTCAATCACTACAGGTGCCAAGGGGCATAACAGCTCATTCAACCAGGAGCGCCGCAACATCGGCAGCATGGGCCACGCAGGCGCCAATAACTGAAATTTGTCAAGTGGCAACCTGGGCCTCTCCATCGCCCTTTATTAGGCATTATAAAATAGATGTGTTTGCATCAGCTGAGGCTTCCTTTGGCAGAAGAGTTTTACAACCAGTCCACAGGGACCAGGAGAGGATTCCAAGCCAGATGGAGTCTCTCCCGTAGGACAGGCCAAGCTTTGGTATGTCCCACTACTGGATGTTCTGAACAGCTCATGGGAGAAAGAGCGTTGGTACTTACCTGACATGCCCGTTCTCTTTGATCTGTGAAGAGCATCCAGCCCCGCTCATTTTCCATCTGGTGGGGTCCTGTTCCGGCCAACGAATTGTTAGGGCATATGGGGTGAGGGTGTTTATTCTCTCGTCTTCACCAAAACTGGGGAACACTGGGAAGGAGTCCAGTGGATGAGGAGGAACGTTCCAGAAAATAAGCCCAGCCTATACATGCAGAGACTGAAGCACCTCCCACTACTGGATGCTTTTCACAGCTCAAAGAGAATGGGTGTGTCAGGTAAGTACCAACGCCCTTTTTCATTTATTGAAGTTTCTTTTCCTGAGAAAGGCTGTAATTATGGTCCCTGCTAATTTATAAGTTAAAAGAATAATGTGTATATAAAAACTGATTTGATATAGTGATGAGGCATCACGCTAGAAACTGGGAAACCAGTCCTCCTTAGGCACTAAGATACAAAATTGGGTTACCTTAAGCCAGTTACTTTCTCAGCCTGGGAAGAAGGCATTGGCAAAATTCTTGCCAAGAAAACTGCAGGGACTTGTTCAGGCAGTCACTAGGAGTCAGGGCTGACTTGAAACATCTGCCGCCTCTCCATCCCAAAATCTCACAGGATACTTCAGCAGTTATCTGTTTTAACATCCAACCCATTCAATGTATGAAAACCCCAAAAAATGGCCATTGGGGGGGGAGGGGTGTTAATAATGCTTCTTTGCAACAGTTCTTATCCTAATAAAAGCTTTTCTTCAGCTTTTTTCAAGGGCAAGCACTCCAACATGCTCATGTGTTATTGTTAATATTCCCCAGTTCCTGCTGTGAAACTTCTGCAGGATGTCTGATAAATTGATATCTTTCATTCATGATGGCTTTGTGGGGAGGAAGCAGTTTAGGAAATGTGTCATGGTTGTGGTTATTAGGAGTATGACAGAATTAGTGTTATAGCATGAACAACATAGTGCCTGGAAAGAAAGAATATGAAGAAGATGGTTAAAGGCCACAGGTCCTTGGATTTGCTTGTCATGGTCTGGCCCTTCCTGATGAGATTTCTATTCCTTTGCCAAAGAGGATGGACCCTCAATTTGCATGCAGATGCCCCCACTGTGTATTCTGGCCCTACTGGAAGCTATTTTGGATTTGCCTTGGACTTCTTCCAGGACAGTAAAGGAAGGTAGGACCATATTGATCAGAGAATAGTAGACTCTGGCATTGTTAACATAACAGGAATTCGGGAATACAAGGAATCAAGTTTCTTGGGACAGGTCAGCACAATTTATTTTTTATAAATACTAGAGCTATATTCCCAAGCAGAGAACTTTAATGATATTATGTTTTGTGAAATCTTGAATATGGGTTTAAAATCTAGCAATTTTTAAAAAAGATTATTAAAATAATTTACACAAATTTCAAGACAATACTGATCTAATGAATCTGGAAAAATTCATTAAAGCTGGACATTTACAAAAAAAAAAGGACCTCAATAATTCAGTGGGAATACAACATAATGATCTCTTCCTAAATCTCAACTTCCAATAACTATATATAATTTGTTTCTTTTAAAGTTACTTTTCCAGATCAAAAATTTCATTCAGAAGAATGAAAAGCAAATGATTATTTATTCTTAAAGTAGCAACCGAGTAAAGTTTATTACAACATGCCAAAGTAAAAAAAAAGAAAAGAAAAGAAATGTGTTTTGTTAATGTACAGATAGTATTTGACTTAAACCATTGACTTAGCAACCAAAGTTAAAACAACACTGAAAATAAATACAATCAGTCCTCACATAACCATTGCAGCAATTGGTATGCATTTAAGAAAATTGCAACAAACTGGGATCCCATGATTGCTGCTTGCAACCTTCCCAGCTGGCTTCTGACAAGCAAGGTCAATGGGGAAGCAGGATTTGCTTAATGACATCATGATTCACTTAATAACTGCAGTGATTCATTTAACAACCATGGCAAAAAGAACATAAAATTGGAAATGACTCACTTAACTGCCTTGCTTAAGAATGAAAATTTTGGTCTCAAATGTGATTGTAAATTCAGGACTACTGGTAGTACAATTACACACTGAAAAGGAATACCAAGTGCTGCTACAGTGGCCAAAGCCCCTACTTCAGGATATTTTTAACTGTTCCACAGAACCCCAAGATTTCATGAGATCTTGATAAGAGTCCACGAGAGATTAAGGGAGAGAAAAGAAAAAAACAGCTGGTTTTTTCATCACTAGAGTGGAGATGGGGGGGGGGGGTGTTAAATTAACAAATTCCATGGAACAAGTTTGAAAATACCTGGTCTAATTCACCAACAAAGCCAAGGTATAAATTTTAACCGTAACAACCTATAATACTATATTATGGCTTAGTGTTCTCTGTTAACATCTCCTTTGCTGGCTCATAGATCTGTTAGCCAAAGTACATCTCCTAATGTTATTACAATCTATAGTTATTTAGATATATTAGATTTGGAAATTATAGGAGCACTATAGCTGGCGCTTGCCAAGTTTGGAGAGGCCGAGCTAGCTTTTCGATCCTCTGCCAGTTCCTTCTTTCCAGCATTATTCAAAGATTGAAGGTGGCTCTTGACTTGAGTTTAATGGATGGGCAGGAGGAGCCCACTCAACTTAATTATCACACAGATCCTTTGGTGCATATACATTGTTTCCTAGAAGTGACTGGGAAGTTCATTCCTGTTACCTGTTCCAAAAAACTGATCTTTATGTTACACTTATTATGCCCATGCAACCTACTTTCTGATGAGTAGACCCCAAGCAACTCCAGTCAGCACAGCCTAAAGCAGGACTTGCTGATAAATGTAGATTTGTAATATCTGATAAATCTATGTATCTATCATTTATACAGACATACAACTTAAGAATTGTGTGGGGTGCCCACTCTTCAAAATATTATTAAAGGTAGAAGAGAACCCTTTCTGCTTGGACTCTTCAGTAGACATTTTTTTTTGTTTAATTTAGATTTTCTGTTTAATTTAAACTGCTCCCTGCATTACACATGCAACGCATACTCCTCTTGTTCTCCCCACTTATCTAGAGCAGAAAAAGATGATCCATATTTGTCCATCATCATTTATGATTCGTTTTTATGATTCAGCTGACTTTCCTAGAGGAAAGAGAGAAAGCAAAAATAAAAAATGATTAGATCTAACTGAAATAGAAGAAATCCAAATAATCAAATCCTTGGAAATTCAGGATAGATCATCCAGTATCATACGACCACACTTATCTAAACATGCTGACAACATTGCTAGGATAATTGTAACTAATTAGGTGGCATAGCAAAGTTCACCTTTTTCAGTTTTTACATTGTTCTAAAAGATGAATGTAGGAATTGTTCTTAAGATCCTCCTGCATGTTTCTTGCAAAATGATTCATGCAGTACAACTATGGCTCATTCTTATTCTAAAAATTACAACAGATTTAGTTCTGAAACTAAAGAAACATTAATCTAACAGTACAATCCAAAACATTTGACTTTGCAGTTTACACATTTTTGTCACACAGAATACAATGTAGTTATTTTTAGGGAAGGCATTTATGCATGCAATGATATTAAAAATGAATACTTAATCAAAAAGTATAGCTTTAGTCTTGTGACATCATGTCTTGAAACAAATATCACAAAACAAAATTAATATACAGTATGAAATATTGAACTATAATATATTGTTTCCAACTTTTCAAAGGCAAGACTACTTGGTGAAAGATATATTTCTAATGAAATGGAACTTCATACTCTATTGTACACATGGTGTCCTTTGAAAATTCTTGATTTTTTAGGAGGATTTTTACTAGATAGACCTTCAAACAGAGAATATCCCTTTGTGAAACTAAAGATAAGACTGCATTTCCACAATGAGTTAGCTCGTAATATAACTTGTTGCCTACTATAGAATGATACAAGAATCTATTGAGAATGTAGCCACTGCATTTTGTAAATCTTATTGAGGAAACCTGCCAGTTGTATTTTATTCAATAAATCATATCCAATACAGGAGTCAAGTGACATTCATTGCACTTCTTCTACCACAATTACTGCAGTCCAAAAATACCTTCCAACTACTCTATTAAATATTGGTGGTACAAAGGTTGAAAATTGGAAACACATGAGAACTGTAACCATAATGTTTTAATATTAATCATGACCCATGCTAAATCCTAATGGGAGAGTAGAAATGAAAAATCTATTTTTATTCCTTTGTATGGCAAGATTCTGCATTCTTTGGACACTTACTCCATCTACTGGCCTCCTAAAACTTCCTTGTCCCTGATCATCACAGGGCCATTCCTTGGTGTAAAATGCAAACAATGCCAATGAGTGTCTGCAGAGCCTAGATCAACCTTTTTGGCACCAGGGACTGGTTTCATGGGAGACATTTTTTCCCCGGATTGGGGAGGGGAGTTTCACTTGTTCACCTGCTGCTCATCTCCAGCTCTGCAGCCTGGTCCTTAACAGGCCACAGACCAGAACTGGTCTCGGGATTGGGGACCGCTGGTCTAGATGATCCATTATCCATCACCCATCATTCTGTGCAATTCACAGAACCAAATATCCTGAGTCTAGTTTGGAACCTATAAGGAGACAGATGCAGGAGACAGATTGGAAGCACTGATTTTAATGCTATTGTCTGTGTGGTAAAAGCCTATACACTTTAGTTTAAAAGGAGAGCCATATCTACCAAATTCTTATTTCAACTCATCTTGCATGTGTTATAACTTCAGGTCCGAATACATCTTAACAACAGAATCTTTTAAATGAATCATATACATCCTCAATTAGTTTTTTTTTTCTTCAGGAAAAGTCATTGCAAACTTAGCAAAAGTTCAATGTAGTATAATATCCAAAGTATAATAGAATCCCTCCAGATGTCACAAAAATCCATTCAGATTTTTGGTCCTCTCATAATAGAGGGTCTTTTCTATCTAGATACAACCACCTCTTTTTTTCTTCTCTAGCATGAATGTAGTCGTGGGGGCCCCTCGGGCCAACACATCGCAGCCTGGTGTGATAGAAGCAGGTGCTGTGTATTTGTGCCCTTGGAAACCTAATGGTGGTACCTGCGTCCCTATTGAGTTTGATACTGAAGGTGAGTGGATTCCCATAATCTGGTCATAAAGCTGTTATGAGCAGTTGCTACTATCATCAAAAATGAGAAGGTGGAGGAGGAAACCATTTGAAAGCTTTTCGGAGTAGCTAACTAATATGAGGAATGAATGAAAACAATCCTATCTTTTTGTACTCATGTGGCCTGAGATCCTATATGGCCTTTGCTCTAATTTTAAAAAAAACTATGTCCGGACTTCCGGTTGCAAGGCTTCGGCGGCGGCAGGAATCCGCCTTTCTGCGGGTCCCTGCTGCGCTCACCGCTGAGGTACCCCCAATCCAACTGGATTTGGGGGTTGTCGCTACCCCAGAGGGGCAGCGGAAGATAGAGGAGATCCGGGCAGGGGTCTGGGGATATCGCAACCCCTTTCCCCAGCCAGCTAGACTCCTTTTTCCTGAGGCAGTGGAGCAGCTGTCAGAAATGGCAGCCACAAAGGAATCTTCAACCGGATAAGATTTGTGCAGGAGGAAGAATCAGAAGGAGAAGTTTTCTTGGCTGAACCGGGACATTAAGATACTTTTAAACACCCTGGAAACCTGACTTTTGGATTGATACATTTGTTTCCAAAAGAAGTTGTTAAAACGGCGAAAGTGCTGAAAGGAAAGTTCACTCCCCTTCCTTACGGAGAAAGCAAATGAGCACTGAAAAACCTGCTTCTTTAAGGTAAAAATAAGCTCTTTGTTATAAGTGGGAAGGAGAGGACTAAAAAAACCTTTAAAAATTTGTTGGAGGAGACGCCTTGAAGATTATAAGATCAGCAATTAACTGTAATACGGCTTTAAAATATATTTTGGGATTTTGCCCCAGGAGGAAAAACTGCAAAGAGAAGAAGAGGAAATATTTTGTGTCTGTTTGGATTGTTTGATAACTTTGACACTTGGAAATTACTTTAAGATTAAAAACATCTGGGTTGTTCTTAAAAATTTACAATGGCACTATGAATTAAAAATGGAATATGAAAAATTAAAGGAAAGAGAACAAGAAGGTAAGGATTCTTTGGGAGCTGTCTCCCACTTTTTAGAAATGGCGGTTTCAGCAAATACATGAGGAAGAAGGAGAAGAAGAAGAGGAAGAAGCCATTTTTAATGGACAAAAAAGTTCAATTAAGAAAGAAAATAGGAAGAGAGGAAGGAAAAATGAGAATTTAAGATTTAATAAAACAACCAAGAAAAAGAAAAATAAGGTGAAAAAAAGGTACAATGTTAGAAAGCAACAGAAAAGAGAAATACAACAGAGAGGGGAAGTTAAAAAGGTGGAGGTTAGGAGAGGGCGGGGCAAAAAGACCAGACTGGAGAAGAAAGGGAGGGAAAAAGGGGGGGAAAGCCACAAAGGTCTGAAACAAGATGCAAAAAAGCAGATTTTTTTCAGAGATAAAGGATAGAGTATAATTAAAGAAAGATTCTGCAAGAGTACATAAGATAGTATCATAGTATTTGCATTTGAAATAGTCTATTGGAATATTATAAGATTTAACAAAATATTAAAATGTTTAATAATGGTAGATCTCAATATTTAATAAAATATTAAAGAGAATGTGTAAAATGATTAATGTTTAGTTATAGCTTAATTCGTTATTGTTTTAATGTTATTATAAATTTACTATTACATTTTCTTATTTTAAAATAATGTATTAAGTAGAATTAGAATTAGAATGGAAATTATATATTTAACTATATTATAAATTTATTATTTTTTTATTTTAAAATGCAACATGTAGAACGTACTAAGCAGAATCAGAACGGAAATTATGTATTACTTTAAGTGTTACTTTAGGGGAAAGATAGAAAGGCGTCACACTTTAAAAGTGATTACAGGGGAAATTTTTTTGTTAAAGAGAAGAGATAAATAGATAATTGGAAAAGAACGGACAAAAGATACAAGTATAATGATTTTAAAATAAGATGAAATAAACAAAATATAATTAAGAGAGTGAAAAGAAGGGAGAAGTTATATAGAAAATATAGAATGGTAAATAAGATAAGAATGGTATATAAGGTGAGCATGAATTTGATTTAGGTCTGTAAAAAAAGATGTAACCCGGGGCTAAGCCACTTTTCAAAATAAGTTTTATGTTTTAAGTTTTGTGTTTTGGTTAGCTATGTTTGATTGAGAATTAGTAAAACCTTGGAGGAATAAAACTAAAGGGAGAAATAATGAGAAATTTGGAAAAGACATGTACAAATGATCATTAAGAAGGTTTTATGTTTTTATGTCTTGTTTTATGTTTTGTATTTTGTGTGTTCATGTTTGATTGAGAATTAATAAAACCTTGATAGAAAGAAATATAATTGAGTAAAAGTGAAGGGAGAAACAATGAGAAATTCGGAAAAGATATATAGGTGTTTAAATGGAAATGTGATAATTTGGAACTATGCTGTATAAATGTTTATATTTGATTGAGAATTAATAAAACCTTGATAGAAAGAAATATAATTGAATAAAAGTGAAGGGAGAAATAATGAGAAATTTGGAAAAGATATATATGTGCTTAAATGGAAATATGATAATGTGGAACTATGCCTTAAAAAATAATGTTTTATTTGCCTTGTTAAAACTTATAAGTAATTTTTTTAGAAAGGAGGTTTTATGCCTTTATGTCCTATGTTTTGTTTGTCTTTAAAAAAATCAATAAAATTTGTTTTTTTTAAAAAAAAAACTATGTCCAAATGTTCAATTCACCTGTAGCTTCACTATCTTTATGTCCAAAGGGGAGCAAGAAGAAGTGTAAGAAAGTTATGTTGGGGAAAGAGAAGAGAGAAGGAGGTAATGGAGACAGGATAGGGAAGTTGCAGAAGAAACTAGAGAAAAGGCAGAGTCCTACTCATTTGTCACTAGTATTGATTATGCCAAGTGCCAGCATTCTGATCTGCAACAGATTAGGACAGGGGTCTCCAATCTTGGCAACTTTAAGCCCGGCAGACTTCAACTCCCAGCTCTCAATTCTGGGAGTTGAAGTCTGCCAGGTGTAAAGTTGCCACGGTTGGAGATCCTTGGCTTAGGAAATGTAATTTTAGATACAGTAGTATAAGACCATAGATCCATAGCTCAGGAGTTATTTGGGGGGCAGGCTAATGTTAACTGCATTTATCTTCTTTAATTGTTTGTATTTTGTCCATGCCACTATTGTTACCCAGGTGATCAAGAGAGAACACTTGGTGTCACTACTGTGAAAACCTTCAAGTCTAAACAGTGGTTTGGAGCATCTGTAAACACCTGGAAACAAAGTATTATGGTGGGTACTGGTTTCTGATTCTCTCCAAGAAACTCCAAAGTTGATGAAAGCATATGATGTAGCATAAGCCAAACATTTAGCCAAATGATTTCAGATTTAATTTTGACAGGCCACTTTATAAATATTGCCCCTCAGTTATTATAGCTCAATTTAAAGAAATACAGCCATTTTTTAAAAATGAGGTGCCTTATAAGGGCCAAAAATTCAATTAAAAATAAAAATAAGTTGCTAATAACAAATTATAATAAGATTCTCACAGAGACATTTGGGAGTTTGATAAAGAACCAAGAATTGTTCATTGGCATTGCTTTACTTCTCTAGTAATTACTTTGAAACATTAAATTCAGGCTGTATTTATATAATTTTGTGCATCTCTGGTTCATTTTCAAGAGGCATGCTGAGAGAAATTCTCCAGTGAAGTTTTATATGAATGCTGTTGGCTCCACATACTAGTTGTGACCCACATTCATTTGTGCATTCCTAGTTTTCTATCAGAGGTGAGAAATTATTTGCCTTTGATCTACAGAAAGACGGGCAAGGTGTGGTCCTCTGGATGTTTTTGAATTCCAAATGCTCCAGCCAACAATGAGAGGTGACAGGAGCTGAAGTGAAAATCTGGAGTGAGATCTACTACAGCAAAGCTCCCTAATATTAAAGAAGAATGAAGGGAAAGAACATTAGATAAACAGTCTTGTTTAACTTCCTTGATTGCTACAGGAGATCATACATAATCTAGCTTTTAGAATATGAGGTCCATATAGCTCCGGGTGTGCAAGTAATAGAATCTTAAACATAGGTGGGTTCTTCTATCCCTCTATTACAAATGATGGTTCTTTTCATGAATACCAAATAACAAGTCTGATTTTGGCTTGACAAAATGCTCAGTTGTTAGCTTGACCCTTTTTCTGATTTAGTTGAAAATATTTTGTTTGGCCACATTTATTCCACAACAGGCTCATTGTGTCTCACTGATTGTTAGTGCTACAACATCCCTTCCCTTCTTTCAAACTGTCAGGCCTGTGCCCCATTGCAACACTGGAATGCCATGGAAAATAAGGAAGAGGCCACCAAAACTCCAGTGGGCAGCTGTTTCTTGGCCACAGGAGACCGTCAGAATTTCTCTGAATACTCCCCATGCCGTCAGATCCATATGCACTCTGTTTACAAATCAGGGTTAAGTGGTAAGTATTGCATGCATATGGTGAGGAAAAGAGGAAGGTGGGCTATCTAAAGGAAGATATGCCATGCCTAAAACCTTCCATGGCCTGTTGGGACTGTTAAGCCTGGATTCCCCAACGGGTGTTAAGGAAAACAAACTAAACAGAATGTGCAGCGAAGTCAGATAGGAAGACAGGTAAATGTGTGAGATAAGCCTTCTCGTTAACACGCAGTAAAAATACAGATACGCTTGTGCTATCAAAATATTGTTTATTCCATTTAAGAATTATAGCATAGTCATTATAAACAGTCCATTAGTCAAATACCAAATTCAGTCAAGTCTTGTCGAGGATACTCTAATTGCAAAGTCCGTGTCGAATAGCCAGTGTCAGTACACATATAATAAATCTGTCCAAAACTTATCTTCTCTCCGTTGAGAAATATCTTCAAAGTAATCCAACACTTCTTCTCCTCCCCGATCCAGCAAGAATGCAGTCTTCAATAAGCCAGCCAGTAAGGCCCAGAGAGTGCCTTGCTGCTTATATAGTACTTTTACAGCTGCACTCTTAATTACATTCCTTTAGCTTAAAGTCACATACACTTTATCTGACAAACCATGATTCATCATTTTATTATCTTTACCCAAAACAGTTAGGGTAAAACAATGTTATCCCTAACAGGGACTATAGCCAATCAACAGATTATGAAGATGCCTAAGGGAAACTTGGCTTTTTGGTCCCCAAATTACTTCATGACTGGTTATGCAAATTGACCCAGTAGTGCTGTGCTATATAAATAAATAATTCACAAATGGGCTGTTTGATCACATAAGTCTTTTTAGAGAGACTGATGGTTATTGTATAAACGTATATACTCATGGACAAAATGAGAATTTTAAGTCCCAAAATACATCTCCTCCATATTGGGTTTGGATTACCCAGGGAGGAGCTTGTCTGTGAGTATATACGGTAAGTTTTTCTCTCAGCATTTTAAAAGTACATAGGTATTATGTACAGTAGATACAATACCCAGTATTTGCAGATAAACCCATCTCCTGAGAAGCAGACTCTCCAAATGTTAATCAAAATAGCATGAAAAATCACCATCCTCAGAAAATGTTTTTCTCATAACATTTTAGTTTAAAAACTTACAATTCATTTTTGGTGTGTATTTTCTGAGGAAAATACAATAGTGATAAGCCTTGCTTTGAAGTCTATGGCTCTTATTTGTTGATGTGCGGAGGTGCTTACAACTATGGCCACTCAAACATGAGAGGAAAAATGCATTCTGCACATGTCAAGTGGTACCTTTACATGCTTGAGAATTGCATTCTGATCTTCAGAATAGGAAAGTCCCACTTGGGTTGGGAAAGCAAGGAAAAAATCCCAGGAGGGGGAGACATAATATTTAAGACCAAGTAGGAATAGAATCTTGAGGCAGGGGAAATAAATATTTCTCTCAGTGATATCATCCACAATTGGGACAGCAAAACTGTGATAGCAGCAGGCTTTATTCTTCCCCCAAATGACTAAATAGTGCTACCTCATTCTAAAGAGGCCCAGCTCATGTAGCTACTTTAAATTTTGAGTTATATCATTTTTAGTATGTTTTTACTAAAAGGACGACTTGGGAAAGGGGAGATCTTCCTGTTAAGTTGAAGTATGTGGCGAAAGGAAGGGGGGAGGGAGGAAAATATTTCAGTTGAATGAGATAATATTTTTGAATATATACCATATTCCTTCAGAAAATCACTAATTAAACAACATAAAATGTCATCACTAAGTCCTTTGATTCCCTTTGAATAATAAAAAATAATTGTCAATTATGTTTGTCAAAAGCAAAGCAAGACTAAAGAATAGCTAAATAATATAGAATATAGAAGTAAAATGTTTAATTATTTATTTATTAAAACATGCATTAAATGATTATGCGGACATCACAATATAGGTAGCCTTTGTCTTACAACCATAACTGAATCCAGAATTTCTGTTGCTAAGCAAGAGAGTTATTGAGTTTTACCCCATTTTATGAGGCAACTTTCTTGCCATAGTTGTTAAGTGAATCACTGCAGTTCCTAAATTAGTAACATGGTTGTTAGGTGAATCTGGCTTCTGCAGTGACTTTGCTTGTCAGAAATTCATAAAAAAGTGATCACATGACCACAGGACATTGCAACCATCATTAATACATGCTGATTGCCAAGCATCCAAATTTTGTTCACATGAAAAATGTTTATGTGATGCTGTAAAAGTGGTATGCATGAAAAAAGGTCATGTCAATTTTTTCAGTGTTGTTGCAACTTTGAACAGTCATCAAATGAAGTATTATTATTAATAATAATAATAATAATAATAATAATAATAATAATAATAATAATAATGAATTATTGTAAGTTGAAGACGACCTGTACTACAAAATAGGGATTTATCCAGGACAATACTGTCCTTTGCATGTTTTGACCAGCTGCCATGAAGACTACAATTCTGCCCACAGAAATGGCCTATCTGTTATAGGAAGATTATCAATGTTTACTGAGATTATCAAAAGATCCCACAATATATAAATGAAGCAGGGTTATGGTTAAGGCCCTAAGATAACTGGAACACTAAAATTCTGAGGAGAAAAAAAATTAAATCTGTCCTTGGTGGTTGATGCACCAATTGCTTAGGCTGCCAACAGAATGGGTAAGCTCGAAAAATGGGTTAGGGAAGAGCTTCAGGATCCCTCCTTAGGAAGACCCCCTTAGGGCAGCTTTCTAATGTCACATGATTTTTGAACTTCTCATCTGTTTATTTCATCAGGAAGTGACAAGCGTTACTGTGAAATTGGATTCAGCCTCACCATCTCTCCGGTGAGCTTTGCAGGGGAAAAATGCAATGGTCCTGAGACAACCAATCTGCAAACTCCAAGTGGCTGACTAGCATGGTTACCTCTAGAAAACACTCCAGGAGAAAATACTGATGGAATTGTCTATAACTTTGTACAAATGCTTCTTGTGCTTCTGGTAATCTGGGGAGGCAAGACAATGATCCAGCTGATTGTAAAGTAAAAACGCTCTTATATGTATGCCAGCCTCTTGAAGACGTTGATAGGGCAATGACAAATGAAAATTGATTTTCCTAGCAATGAGATGTGTACCCTTTGGTCTTCTTGGTGGTTGAGGAAATGGAAATTGGGAACATGTGCGCCATCACACAAACAATGTAACTTAGTTGGTGTTGTGGTTAGCTGGCAGCAGGTGCAGATGGCTGAGGAGAGCAAGGACTCTGATGAGGGGCCAAGACCATCAGGGAGTGGACTGCTGCCTTCAGAGATTGTGGGGGCTGGCAGCAGTGATAGGAGGTTCCCGAGGAGCCTGTGCCAAGTGCACGTGCACGCAGGATTGATCGTAGGAGAGAGCAATTACAGCAGCACAGGTGACTCAGGAGTAAGGCTGCAAGGTAATGGCCCCTCCCTCAAGAGGATAAAAGCCAAGTTTGAAAAAGCGTTCTTGGCAGACAGCAAAGAAGCTCTAAAGCTCAACTTATGGACATCTTAGTTCGTATTTGGGGAATCTTGTAAATTAGTTCTTATCTCTGACTTTTTGGCATCATTGACAAACAACTTGGCAAGGCTCTTCCTTGTCGGAGCTAATTAGTAGAAAGCAGCCTTCAGAATAGAATTTGTTATTAAACCTTAAAAGGTGGGGGCTCCTGACCCCCCCTGGTTGGGTCAGAACAGTTCCTATAAGTATGTAATTACATCATTTGACAATGGCATCATGATTCTTGAATCATTTTGGTACTATTATTGCTTGTTACGGATATCTGTGTCCCACAAGGATATGTAACTCAACGATATGTATCTACAGTGTTCAATGGCTTTTAGCGTTGGCTGCCATATGACTCAGTGGTCATGTGAACAAGCTTGCCAGACAAGGGGAGATTCTACAATACTAGTTTTGTTATCATTAGCAGATTCAAAGTGGTTCTGAAGAAAGCTATCTCTAAAGAGACAACATAGCAGGTATTTCTCCAGTGCCATATAGCCAGCTTACACCAAATACGTACCCACTAAAAGCTGAAAACACTGGTGGTGGACATGAATCTTTCTTGCAAAGATCTGAACAGGCAGGCAGAAAGAAACAGCATATAAAGGCAAGGTTGACTCACTGTGGTAACATATGTTTTGTTGTTGTATAAACCATGATAGTTCTTGCATTCAGGAATGAAGCAAACTTATGTGTCCCCGGATAATGTTACAGGATCCAATCTGGGGCGGGCAGTCACTGGGACCACAGATTTAATAAATCTCTAGTCCTCTAGACTGTCCCAACATGGATCTTGTTCTTACACTCAGGCATGGTTTATATGCAAAGTTCAGGAAGATAATCAGCAAAAACTGATTGTGAAATAGACCTAACACATATTCTGAAATCTTAGATATTTACTTTACTTTTTCCTACTTTTGTTGTCTTCTTCCCACAGTCTGGGTGGCTGATGCTTGGTGCACCAGGTGGATATTATTTCACAGGTAAATGTATCAACTGTTACAAACACCAAGAAATATGTTGTCCTCAAAATACTATGTCCTGTTCTTGTCAATCATTTTAATCATTTATTGCAGAACTTGAGAAGTTGCTAAAAAGACTAATTAAGATAGATAATGAATTGAAGCAGCACCCTCTGTGAGGAAAAGTTGTACCTTAGCTTAAGGGGAAAAAGAAATGCTAATACAATATACAGTGTGATGTTTTATTTTCTCAGCCTCACAATCTTACTGTAGACATAAAGCTAAACCTATTAAATTAGAAAATGGGAAGGACAGACAGAAAGAAGAACTGCTTCGTGCTTTATCAGAGAGGAGCTGAGCAGATATCTGATTTGGACAGCATTCATGCATGATGATACCATAGTAGCTATATTATTATTATCAGCCCAGTATCAGATTCGCTTAACGACCACATGATTCATTGGGGAAAAAAGGTTATAAAACTAAACTCACTTAACAACTGCCTCCCTTAGTAATGGAAATTTTGCTCTCAACTGTAGTCATAAGTTGAAGACTACCTATTACTTAGTTTCTGGAGGAAGATGGCTCTAATTGTACTTTCCCATTAAATACAACTACTCAATTATGGGGGATGCGGTGGCTCAGTGGCTAAGGCACTGAGCTTGTCGATCAGAAAGATTGGCAGTTTGGCAGTTCGAATCCCTAACACCGTGTAGCAGAGCGAATTCCCATTACTTGTCCCAGCTTCTGCCAACCTAGCAGTTCGAAAGCATGTAAAAATGCAAGTAGAAAAATAGGGACCACTTTGGTGGGAAGGTAACAACATTCCGTGCACCTTCGGCATTTCATCATGCTGGCCACATGACCACAGAGATGTCTTCAGATAGGGCTGGCTTTTCAGCTTTGTAACGGAGATGAGCACCACCCCTAGTGCCAGAAACAACTAGCATATATGTGCAAGGGGAACCTTTACCTTACCTTTACTCAATTAGACCCATTGTAGTAATTGTGTTTGTGAATATCTGCAGGTATCTTATGGCTATCGTGGGAATAAAATGTGGGAATAAAATGCTAGCCTAAAATGCTTTTGTTCAGATCCATCATGGTATAAGAGCTATGGTGGCACAGTGGTTAGAAAGCAGTAGTGCAGATTAACTCATTGCTCACTCCAGGTGTCTATGGAGATTCTCAGTTATCCAGGTCATGGTTGTCCCAAAGGTGCTTTTTCAAGAGGCAACTGGACTTTCTGAAGAAGCTTCTTGGATGAGAAATGAAACATCTTCAAAAAACAACAACCAGAAAGTCCAGTTGCCTGTTGAAAAAGCACCTTTGGGATGCTCAACCCAGGAGTTCAATTCTGGGAAGCTCAAGGTTGACTCTATCCTTCTGAGGTCAGTAAAATGGAGACCCGGAGTTTTTGGGGAAATATGCTGACCCTGGTAAACCACTTAGAGAGGATTGTGAAGTGGTATAAAGTCTAAGTCCTATTGCTATTGATGTAATGAGATCAGAAACAGGGAAGGAAATATATATGACTGGGAATTTCTGGGAGTTGAAGTCCATGTTAAAGCTGCTAAGGTTGAAAAATACTCATGTAGATGTTCTGGACCCGCAGTCTCCCATATACCAGCTTGTCCAATTAGAGTGCTGCTGCCATTATAGAGAAGTGTCTCTTGTCTTCTTTTAGGTTTGTTCTATTCAGTTGCCCTGTCAGAGGTTGAAGCAAAATATCCTCGTTCATCTTCTACTTTGCTGTGGTACGTGAACTCAGAACTGGTAACAGAAGATTATAGACTGAAGAAATATGAGGATGGATACCGGGGTGAGTGCATTCTTTTCCTTCAGCAGACCCTGGGTGCATACAGAAGGTCAAGGTGGCATGTACCAGAGGAGGTTAGGAGTTGGGCCCAAAGTCCTTAGCAAATGTTCCTCTTTCTTTGAGGTACCTCTTTTTTCTTTGTGCTTGGTGGCCAAACCATGAATTGGTCCAGTCAAATGCTGGATTTGTTTTTCTCTGGTGCAATGTAGCCAATTATCACACTATGCAGGAAATTGCAACCTGTTTGTTCTGTACAGCACAAGGAAGTGCGCTTTTAGGACTATATCATAGATCGAGAGAGCCCCCAATACACAAATTATAATAGTTTTTATACACTTTTGGAAAACAAATGCACATGCTCATTAGCAAACCATGGGCAGCAAACAACAAAATATGGTGGAGGATGATCCTCCCAGAAGATGGGTTCCTTAGTAAAACATTACAGCCCTCAGTGTTTTGTCCCTAACTGATAAGACTGATTATGAGGTATGCAAAACTGTCTAGCTAATTTATCTGCAACAGGAAACAGACTTTAGCCAGGGTTAGGATTCAAAAATCCCAACAACCAGTTCAATGCCCAGTTGCTGGGTGGGCGTGGCCATGGTGGGCATGGCCTACTGGAACTTCCTGTTTCTGGCTTCCGGTGGGCCTCCAGAGCCCAGGGGAGGCTGTTTTTGCCCTCTCAAGGGTCCGGAGGCTGCCTCTAGGAGGATGAAAATGGCCTCCCTCAGGCTCTGGAGCCCCACCGGAAGCCGGAAACAGGCCCATTTCGTGACCTCGGGTACTTCCGGGAGGACTATTTTTTGCTCTTCCAAGGGTCCAGAAGCCTGGGCCTCTGGGAGGGTGGAAACAGCCTCCCCCAGGCTCTGGAGGCCCACCAGAAGCTGGAAATAGGCCCATTTCTGGACTTCCGGAAGGCCCGTTCCCCCCCCCCAAGCCTCCACTTGGACCCTGCACTTACCTGCATTGCATGGAGACTCCTGGGAGGGGCAGTGGCAGGTGGGCGGGGACAGCCGGTCATTGAAATAACTTTAACTTTAACATCCGGTTCGCTCGAACCAATCTGAACCCGTAGAATCCCACCCCTGACTTTAGCCCTGAACCAAACTGCTGCTTTGAGTTACTTGATCAAGCTATCAGGTAGCCTCCCAGGTAAGAGTGTGAGGCCCAAGAATGAGAGCCCCCAAAGATAGAAACGTGAAAGGTTTTCAACAAAATGGGGTTTCTCTGGCTAAAACTAGCTATACCAATTCTTCTTGCTTGTGCTGATATGCCAAAAGTGAACCATCAACCATCTTTCATACTAAAATTGGCCCTTGAGCTAATTTTAAAACCAGGGGTGTCTATATAGAGGAAGGGTTAAAAAAAAAAAGTCAAGATGATAAGCATGAGTGCAACTGAAGGCCTGCAGAGGCATTTACCCAAAAGGGTGGCATAGTCAATTGATTGCCGCGGACGTTTCTGTTCAAATGGCTTCTACCAGGGACCAGTTCAACTATGTGCCAAATCCATCTCCTTGCGGCACCCTGGCTGGCTGAAAAAAGAGAAAAAGAGTCAAAATGAGGGAACAAAAGAGAGAAATGCCTGACCTTTCTTGTGGTAACAACTGTTGCTAAATGAGCTTAAATTTTTAGTAAACAGCAATTACTGTTCCTTCTCAAAATAATGTCTTATACCCTGCTTTTCTTAGGCCTAACATTTCAACTATTACTCCCTCCTGAGAAATTATCTCTCTTTAGTTTCATAAATGTATCATATGCTGGCTGCATATTATTTTCAGCTTCTGGAACACCTTTCCCCCTCCCCACACCCTTGATATGAGGTTGGCCCCTAACCCTCCTATCTTTTCATAAGGGCCTAAAGATGTGGCTTTGCCAGTCAGCTTGGGACACCAGTGAGGGAAAAGCATAATGGAGGTGTTTGATTCAGTAATAACAGGTCCTACCTCTCTCCCCCCTCTGCTCTGCCCCCCCTCTCCTATATGGTTTTGGTTTTAACTTTTTATGTTTTAGCTTAAATGTAACTGTAAGCTGCCCAGAGTTACCCTATGGTAAGATGGGCAGCTGATAAATTTTATCAATAAACAAATAAGGATCTTTATAGACCACTCTCCCCATTTTGTGGCATAGTCCAGGGAAGTTTAGTATGAAAGCTAAAATGCTCTAGATGGAGAATTCTATGCTCAAGTTCACATTGTTTTTTTTTAAATAAATTTTATTAATGAACAACAAAAAGAAAAACATTTAAAAACAATGAATGTGGTGCATACATCCCGCATACCTATTTGTCTTACATATAACATATATAATATAATATATAATATAATACATATAACAAAAAATACAAATTTACATATATACATAAATATTAATCATCGGTAATACATTTACTCCCTTCTTTTTTAAACCAGTGGTAAAACTTCTCCCAAATTTTGCAGTAATCAGATTCAGTCTTATCTTTTAATTCTTGGGTTACTCTATCCATTTCAGCGCACGTCCAAATTTTTCTAATTATTTCCATCTCGTCTTTCCATCTTTGGGCCATGGCTAATCTCACAGCGGTGGTAACATGGACTATTAAGTATATTATCTCTTTATTATATTTTCCCACATTGATTCCCAACAGAAAAATTTCAAGTCTAAATTCTATTTTAATTTTACACATCTCTTCTAACCAATTTCCAACTTTGAGCTTTTTCACATTTCCACCATACATGGTAGTATGTTCCAATTTCTTTGTTGCATTTCTAACATTTAGGGGATAATTTCGGACACATTCTTGCCAATTTTGATGGTGGAATGATGCCACCGAGGTTATTTTTCTATTCCTGTCCCATAAAATTTGCCAACCATCCAAATTTATGCCATATCCAAAATCTTTCATCCAGGCCAACATCATTTCTTTCACCTTTTCCTCTTCCAGTTTGCATTCTAATAATACTTTGTAAGTTTTTTTAATCAATTTCTCATCCATTCCTAGTAACATTTTATCTAATTCTGTTTTCTATCTACTAATACCCCATTCTTTCATATCTTTACTATATCTTGGCTGTAATTGTAAATAGGCCCACCATTCTATCTCAAATCCCAAATCTTTCAACTCCTGTCTTGTTTTTAAATCACCCTTCTCATCTAATATGTCCTCATATGTAATGACCTGGCCCAGTGGTGGTATTCAAAAACTTTTACTACCGGTTCTGTAGGCGTGGCTTGGTGGGTGTGACCATGTGACTGGGTGGCGTGGCATTTTTTGCAGCCCCCACCCATTTTGGGGAACTTCTTAGCCACAGAGGAACCTCTGAGGGGGTATTTTTGCTCCCCTAAGGCTCCTCTGGGGCTCAGGAAGAAAAGGAACAGAGCATGGGAGGGGCATGCAGCACCCCTCCAAGCTCCGTTTTGGGAGCTTCCTAGCCTCAGAGAAGCCTCTGGGGGGCGTTTTTGCTCTCCTAAGTCTCCTCTGGGGCTCTGGAAGACAAAAAATGGAGTGGGGGGCTGAGCTCCTCCCTCCATTTTTTGCCTTCCTTGGCCTCAGCAAGGGGAATCCCCGCACAGTTGATCTTATCTACAGCTGATTATCGGGAGGGAAAAAAAGAAAAAAACACCTTCAGCGAATGTCAGGCAGGCGGGTGGGGTGAGCAAGCATCGGGCGGGAGAGCAACCAGGTGGGGGCGTGGCCAGCCAGAACTTACTACTGGTTCGGAGACCCACACCAAATTCTTGCTACCGGTTCGCCCGATCCATTGCGAACCGGCTAAATACCACCACTGACCTGGCCTCGGCACAATAAATGTGGGTACATTAACGCTTCTAATGTAGATGAATTAGGTGTTTGTCCTGTCACACCCTGCCTGTAAGTTATATCCTTCTAATATTAATATTCTTTTATTTTTAACATTTATCCAATCTTTAACCCAGATCAGAGTAGCCGCTCTGTGATATATTTCCCAATCTGATAGGCCAAATCCTCCTCTTTCAGTAGCGTCCTGCAACAATTTCAGTCTAATTCTGGGCTTTTTTTCCCTGCCATATAAATTTTGATACTACCTTATCCAATTGATCAAAGAATTTTTTCTCTAATTTTGCCGGAGTGTTTTGGAATTAAAACAATAATTATGGTAATACGTTCATTTTTATAGACGCAATTCTCCCCATAAAGGAAAGTCTTAAGTTGCTCCATTTCCTAAAATCTTCAGTTATTTTTTTAATTAGTGGAGTATAATTATCCTCTTTGAGGGTTATACATTTTGCCGAAATTACAATTCCCAAATATTTAATTTTATTTGTCATCTGGATGTCCATTATTTATTTATTTATTTATTTATTTATTTATTTATTTATTTATTTATTTATTTGTTTATTTGATTTACCAATTGTTTACAAGATAATAAGTATAAGTGTATACATAGTTGTGAATACATGAAATGGGTACATATAAGAAAAATAAAAGAAGAATAAGAGAAACAATAGGACAGGGACGGTAGGCACGTTGGTGCGCTTATGCACGCCCCCTGCAGACCTCTTAGGAAAGGGGTGAGGTCAATAGTAGACAGTCTAAGGTTAAAGTTTTTGGGGTTTGGGGAAGAAACTACAGAGTCGGGTAGAGTATTCCAAACATTGACCACTCTATTGCTGAAGTCGTATTTCCTGCAATCAAGTTTGGTGCGGTTAACTTTGAGTTTGTATCTATTGTGTGCTCTTGTGTTGTTATGGTTGAAGCTGAAGTATTCATTGACAGGTAGGACATTGCAATGTATGATTTTATATACCATGCTTAAGTCAGACCGAAGACGGCGTAATTCAAGGTTTTCTAGTTCTAGAATTTCAAGTCTGGTGGCATAAGGTATTCTACAACGAGTAGAGGAGTGGAGAACTCTTCTTGTGAAATATTTCTGGACTTTCTCAATTGTGCTAATATCAGATACGTAATGTGGGTTCCAGACTGATGAACTGTATTCGAGTATTGGTCTAGCAAATGTTTTGTATGCTCTGGTTAGTAGTGTGATA